CAAACAATTCCTATAACTCAATAAGAGAAGGCAATTTAAAAACTGATCAAAAGACTTGAAGAAATGCTCCACAGAGAAGGATATACAAATAGACAATATGCACATAGAAAAAGTTCACATCAGTAAACATAAGGAGATGCAAATTAAAACCCTGTGCTACCACTACATACCCTTCAGAATGAATTAAGTTGAAAAGACAAAATTTGGGCTATGATGTGGGGAATTCAGAAATCTCAAACACTGCTAGTGAATATTTTTTAAAAAATAATTATTAAATTTTATTTATTCACTCATTTTTTTTAATTTGACAGAGAGCGACAGAGAGAGAGAGACAGAGAGAGAGAGAGAGAGAGAGAGAGAAGGCAAGCCACCAGTGGTGGTAGGACTCTAACCGTGGTCAGCCATGTAGGAGTGTCCAACACCTTAACCACCATGCCACCTGCTGGTCCCTGCTAGTGAATATTAAAAAATGCACCACTGGGGGCCAGCAGGTGGTGTGATGGTTAAGGTAACAAACTGCGGTTGTCTGAGGTTCAAGTCCTGGACCTCTTAGGCTGAAACTCACACTGGGCGCCTATGCCCCAAATCCCAGGAGAGTGGAGGAATGAGGATTGCGGCGTGGCCATCCCTCTGGGGGACGACTTCTCACTTTCCCTGTTACTCTCTCTGTCTCTCCAGCAAGCACAGATACCCTATAGTAAAGATCTTAAAAAAAAAAAAAATGTAACACCACTTTTGGAAATTGTTTGGTAGTTTTAGAATTTAAGCAACGTTTACTATATGGCCTAGCAACCCCAAGTCCAAGTATTTGTCCAAGAGATATGGAAACATGTCCGCAAAAAGATGTGTACAAGGACATTTGTAGCAGCTTTTCCCCTAAAAGCCAAAAACAGAAAACAAAACAAAAAAAAAATGAGGATGGATAAACAAACTGTGGTACGGTCACACAGTGGAATCCTAGAAAAAGAAATGGAGCTTGATGCATTTAACATCAACCCACAGACGTTATCCTGAATGGAGGAAGCTAGAAATAAGAGTGCACAGTCGATCTGAACCTACTTCATTTAATTTCTAGAAGAGGCAAAACTAACGTAATTAGAACGATGGCTGTCTCTGGGAAAGATAATGATGGACTTTTCTGGGAGAGAAACATCCTGCATCGTGAGAAAGGTGGAACACAGATGTATCCATTTCTCAAAAATTGTAGCGGTAGCTTTTTGTGTTTCAATGTACGTAAATTATACCTCAAAAACTAAAAACTAAAAAAGAAATGGTAATTGAGTGAGATGGGTAGGAGGTAAAGACTGTCAACATGAAATAAATATATAGGGAGACAAACTTCCCAGAGCTTTTATCTGGGAATAATACACAAAACTGTAATTCAGGCAGCTGGGTGTGTCCTCAGAACGAAGGGGAAGGTGGGGTTTTACTGGGGAAGAGAGGAAGGTAATGAAAGTTGTTTTGAAAGGAAGTTCATTGGTGCCACAGGTAACTGGCTGTTACTAGGGAGATATCTTTGTAGAAACAGCCTTGGTGGCGAAGTTATAGTTTATACTGGTCCCTCTCCTCTCTTGGAAAGTGAATAAACCTTTTCTTCCCCCCACCCCCTTTTTTTTTTGGAGAGTTTTTTGCTATAAGGTGTGTGTGTGCTGACCAGAAAGAGAGACAGAAAGCGAGAGATCACCCCCCAGGGGAGATGGCCACGCTGCAATCCCTTCTTCTCCATTCTCCTCTCAGGATCTTGGGCACGCACACACACGCGCCTGGCATGAGTTTAAGCCACCAGGTCCGGGACTCGAACCACGGTCGACTACATGGGAATCCAGCGACATTGTCATTACGCTAACCGCTGGTCCCATGAATAAACCTTTCTGTTTGCTTTCTCTTGGTTTGTGAAATATTTTACAGCCTGTGACAAAAACCACCCTAATACATACCACTGCACTGAGCACGAATCAGAGGAGTTGCAAAGGCAAAGGCAATGATGGGTAAACTGCTGTCACCTGCGCGTGGGCCTGTCCCAGTGGTTACTGTCACACACAGCAGTAAAAAAACGCCTGAGAGACCAGCAGATGGCATAATGGTTATGTCGGTGGACTTTCACATAGTCAACCACGGTTCAAGTCCTGGACCTGGTGGCTTGAAACTCACACCAGGTGCATGTGTGTGCCTGCTGCCCAAAATCCCAAGAGGAGAATGGAGAAGGGATTGCAGTGTGGCCATCTCTCCTGGGGAGTGATTTCTCACTTTCTATCTCTCTGTCTCTGTCTGGCAAGCACATGCACCATACAGCAAAAATCTCTTAAAAAAAAATGCTTGGTGCCCTCAGGGATGCCCTGGCTGGAACAGTGAAGCGACCGAGTCCAGAAATGTCAGCCTGTGCATGTGCCTCCCGCAGGTGTGAAGTGGGAGTTGCACATCAAACTGCACCCAGAACCACGACTCCTCAGAACGGGCACTTGGCAGGAGCTGCCCTGACCCAGGCCCTCTGACACCCATTTTTACTGGAAATAATGACAAACCAGTTATTCAGATTCCAGTATATAGTAGACATTTCCTTGAGCATTAACAAATTGAGACTGTTAGTGTAAGGCAAACAAACAAACAAAAAACCCAAAACTTACTCACTATGTTGTCAATCATAGAATTTGAGACTTCATGCACAAATTAAAAGTTTTAGAAAACTTCTACTTACCACTCTGAACACGTCAATATTTAAAGACTTTTCTGCTGAGATGGGTGGTGATAGAAAAAGTGATTTTTGGTACTGAATAATCAACTATATCAATATTTGGAAATCTGTATCTCAGTGACCCATTGCTTTAAAAATACTGCAGATGTTACAGGCTCACATCCAGGTAAAAGGTCAATTTAAGGTGCAAGACAGAATATGAGTTTGGATGCAACAGGGCGCGAGAAGTCATTGACACAATTTCACATTCCACATTACAATCAACTTTTTCTTTTTTAAAATACCGTTTATTCTGAAATAGTTTTAAACTCACAGGAAGTTGCAAAAATAGCATGTATCCTCCACCCAGCCCTCCCACCCCAAAGACACTGTCATATGTAGCCAGAACATGGTCAAAACTAGGACAATGTGGGTACAGTTCTGTAAACTCAGGCACACATCGCAGTAGGATTTCACCAGTTTTTACATTTACTCATTTCTTTGATTTTTGCCCAACTAACCTTTCAGCAATAACCATTTGTTCAGTTTTGGCGTTGGTATCAAAATAGAACATCTACAACAAACAGAGAAAGGTTATTAAAATGCTCCTCCCTTTTTAAACTACACGTCTGTGTGAGCTAGATTTTCTTCTTATTCTTCAACCAGACACACTTATCATAAGAGACCGAAAGCTGAATCCAACTGTCTTCAGTTAAGCCAGACATTGATAAGATTTGCAAAGATTTAAGATGCCATTCTAAATATTTTGTTTTGGAAAATAGTTTTCTTAAAAATATTGTAAATCAACATGCAATAGATGATCTGTATTTTTAAGTGAATCATTTTTCTGGAAATATCTTAGTTTTCATTTCAAATGCCATAAACATGGATAGATGTAACACACATAAACCAAAGCCCCTCAGGGCTCCCAGCTGTTCTTGGGATCACTAGGGGTCTGAGCCCCAGGAGGTAGCAGACGTGATTCCGTCCACAGAGCTCTGGGATTTCTGAAATTCACATACACCAAGACAAAGGGTGGGATGTTTTTTATTCATCAGTTTAAACACACATAGCTTAACTTATCCAGAGGAAACTGAAAGTTCAGAAGCTTCTGGAATGATTATCATAGGGAAAATATGATGAATATTGTATTTTTAAAATGACCATTTATTAAACTATTTGCTATTTAAATTTAGGTATAGTAGTTAAAGAAACTGAAGCTATCCATCGACTTCATAAAATTTATCTTCTTTAAAAAAATGATCTTGCATTTCAAACAGATTTTCAATACTCAAATCCATGAAGTAAATAGCAGACTTAAAAAATAAATTCTTTTCCCAGCGTCCAGCTGAATCTAAGACTTTGTGAGGCTGGTTTGATCCATGGCTGTGAAGAACACGCAGATAGCAGCTGTAATGAGCAGGTGCATTCCCTCATAGAGAAGTTTTGGAGAAAAGACGCTCCATATAAATAAATGATAGCGCAGGGATGTCACAAAAATGATATACGTGGAAACTGGGATAGAACAGATCAGTGCGTAGCAGAAGCAAGCGTGACTCAGTGCTGAGCTGCTGTTGATGAAAGGAGAAGGAGGGTTAGCTTGCCGTTCATGTACCGTGTAAGGCCAGGACGTCTCTGACAGTGCGGATGCTCTGAGAACGACCAGGGCAACCCCGCTCCTGGACTGGAGGGCACCACAATCTTTTTCCTGTGCCCTCGTTCACAGTCGCCACTACACTAGG